CGGCCTGAATATATGACTGCCTTATAAACAAATGCCAAGTAAACATCAATATCTCTTTACAAGTGTATTAAAACTAAAGAAAGTGTGACCCTAGCGCACTGAAATGTGACCTGTCATCCTAAGTTTAAGAACAGATCGATTACTTGGTTATCGAAAAGCGGAAATATGATGCTTGTAACATGCAAAAATGTGCAAAGTGTAATCTTAACAGAGCAGGATGCACATAGGTAAATAGGGTAGAACAAAGCATCATGCTCATGTTCAAATTAAGGTATTTACTAGAAAGGAAACTACCTGCCTTCCCTCGCATATCTGATCACGTAAAAACTAGTCACCAATATATATATAAGCACTTTGATTTAGCAAATAAAGATAGAAGTAATTAGGAATAGAGTGTGTGCGAGTCTCTCTTCGTTGAGGACCCAAAAACCAGCCAAGTTTAGCGTTAAACGAGCAGTCAGAACTTATCTGTTGGCCACGAAAACTTCCCTGTTGTAACACAAGCTGAGGATGAAAAAATATATTGATGGAATTTAAAAAACTACTAAAATATGACATATCTATTCACTGAGGTTTTAATCATTAGCTGTCACACAGAGATATAAAATACGGTTTGTGAAAAAAACCAGGGCAGTGAAATTAAAGACTCAGGAGAAGCATATCATTTTAACTTGTTTACTAATGTTCTCACCTTAATTCAATCTGGAATGAACATTCTGCAAGACTTCTGTTTTATCTTAAAACGTAAAATTCAATTATTTGCTGGCAGGTTGAGGAGGAAATTAAACGAAGGAATACATGTTACATTAAAATAAACCCCTTACAATAAATTAAAGAAGAGGCATATTGCCCACATGTCTATGCTTTTGAATACAGCTATGAAAGGTATTTGTACTATCTACATATGTAAACTGAGTGAAATATATGGTCATAAAAGCAATTTTATTCTAACCTTCCTACTAGAAGGGTGCCTTGTGTATCAAATATATCAAGTTCAGTAACTCCAGAGTCACAAGCTGGGCTTTTGGGGTTATAAAAGAATAAAATAATCAACGAGTTATGTCAGGCCAATTTATCGAGAGTTAATTGAGTATAGTTTCCTACAATCGTATGAAAGTTTAAAATGTGCTTCACATGTGCTATATATACGGATTTGTCGTTATAAATTACTAATGAAATTCCGACGGTGTCACTCAATTACTTCAAAAGAGAATATCCAAGCAGGTTACAGAAATGGTTCGCGAATTGTAAATTGTTAATGTGTTGTCAAAATTTCCCTAAATTATGGTGCCGATACGAATCTATCATTCATAATCGCTTGTGAAATCTCAATGAATTTAATAGAAAATATCCAGGAAGGTTACAGAAACAGACTCTCAAAACCTGCTCTTGAATTCCAAAACTGTAAACAACAATTAGTTACGCCAGCCATGAGCTTACCAGCGCGCTTGTGAGGTCAAATTGTCAGAACCCCGTTTAATTGCAAAATGTGATGACTACAAATTTCAGAGATTAATTCTTCAGTTTCCAGCATAAGGAAAAAAATATCGTATCACAAGCATGTTCATCATAACGCCTCGAGATGTTTAGCGAAGAGAAAGTAGCTCCATGTTTTGTGAGACAAACCATTTCCTGAAGTTCGAACGAATCGAGTCGAAAGCATGAAAATGTAGCGCTGAAAAGTACGACAACCAAACAATTAAAATCTCTCGTCCCGCTGTAGAACCAGCTCCATTTTAACCGTGAGTTTGCTTGCACCTCTCATTTGCGGTCCGTAATTTGATACTTAGATGTTTGACGGGTTCTAAAATGACAATATCGTCAAAATCAAATTACCACGTCAGACTTAATGTAAACATGAACATCGCTGACTCAATCTTATTTTATTTTAATTTTGGGACAGGCCATTACTTCGTTCTCAGAGTAAAACAACACATCTTCGGCAAAGCCCGAATTTTTCAAATGATTAGAGTAAATGCTGCGATAATTAACTGAAGAGAAAAAAAAGTAAAAACTTGCGCTCGCCGTTCGCCATCATTTGAAAACTTTCTAGACAAAACAAAATACGTAAGATAACTTCTTTTCCCATAACACCACGACTGTATTAAACTTTCAAACCAAAGGAAAAGAAACAACTCGAAGAATACGAACACCACGAAATATTATAATAAAGTTCGGATATATCGCGTGCTTTCATTGGTTAAAAGAGCGTGCTCTATGAGAGTATAGAGCATAGAACTGAGCTAAAGCTGTCTCACCATCTGCCAAATTGTACTGTGTCCGAACTTTTCCAACAGTTCTTCTAGCTTTTCTGTCGTAAATTGAAATTTCGGAACAAGTGAGCAAAGGTATCAAAAATGTCAGGCGCAGTAATTTACGTTACTGTAACGTGAGCAGAGCCAAAATTCCTCAAAGATAAAACAAAATGGACAGTCCGAGTTTCAAAGGTTTTAACGCTCAGTTAGATTGCAAGCTTACGTACGGTAATAAAAATTAAACACAACTAGCACTTGTATAGTATATAAAGTTTCGTGTTCAAAAACAAAACAGAAAAGAACAGGAATGATGAAAAATATAACCTGGCAAAACTGTTGAACTTCATACTAATCATGACGGTGTCGTGTCAGAGCGACTACAATCATGCTGAGGTCTATCGCGGCTAGCTCCTCATGGCGATCTTCAGTCATCGCAGTGGAGCTCGCCTCAGGAACTAAATCGACTACCCTTCGAGTGGAAAAATATGAGCTTGCTCTGATAACCTTTCCGATGCGTTGAGTGGAAGGCCACATCAGTTACTGCAGCCGAGTTTTAAGGCGCTGTCATTCCGAGCGATCTTCATGTCCTAGTGAATTCCGCTGTCGTTCATTCATAAAACACTCGCTTTGAACAGTTTGTTTCCTTCATGTCATGTGAAATAACTAGCGTATTTTTGTGAGCCATGATTGGGCCGAATTTCACGGAACATTTCGCTTTCAGCTTCTGTATTACAAACTTAAAAACTTTAGGCAAAATGGTTAAATTCGACACGCTGAATTATTTTAGTTGGTAAGCTATTGCAGAATATGAACTTTGATGGTTTGAAATTTTTTACAGCTTTAGGCTTGTACAGCCAATCAGATTATATGGACCATTCTAACAGGGATTCTGATTGGCTTATTGTAGCGTGCTTTATCAGAGTATAGAGCATGCTGACGACACTGTTGTTCGCTTTAGAAATAAAATTTGTTTTGAAAATTGAAAGTAATTCTTGGGGAATTTAACGAATTCTTTATTATAAAAGAAATAGGGAGAAAAGAAGTAGGGAGAAACACTCGACTACGTCTCGTGTTTCCCCCTACACTTCTTTCGTGCTCTAGCCGCTTCCTAAGTGCTTTACAACAGAACAGAGCACAGTCAAGGCTTCTCTATTTGTTAATTATTCGAGCGATGAGGGTATTTAGACGATGAATGCCAGTCAATGTTTAACCGAAACGTGATCAGTTGAATTAAAAACTGAAGCTAGTATCAAGCAACGATTGGTAATCAAAAAAAGTTTGAAATTTTTTCTGGGTCTTATCGTAAGAGAAAACCCAGACAAGACACGACTTACCTCCTCTTCTTTCGGGGATCCCTTGTAGTTCGCTTCTCTTTGTTGATGGTTTCTTATCAGTCTGTTTTCAGGAGCGACTTTGTATTTCCTTATCCCGTTGCTCTTCGCCAGATACTCGCCTTTTTACTTATGCCCTTTATTATTCTCTTTCGCGTTCCTTTCGCCGTTTTCTGCCTATCTGGGCGTCCTATCAAACTTTCTTACGCGATTTTCTGGACTCGCTTTACGCCGTTTACTTGTTGCTTCTTTTGGTCGCTCTGTCTCTTTATATCCAGCCTATTTTAGCTCGTTAATGACTTTTCTTGCAGCCGCCAAAATCCAGGAAGCAAAAGCCATTTTTCCTTTGAACAGTTTCTTTGAGACAAGGGAGATCACTAATAAACAACGTCAAGGCATTCGTGGAGATGTATCCTTAGTGATAGGTCCAAATGGTGACATAGGTGGCTCTTATCGATTCTCCGGGCATGCTAAAGAGTAAATAAATAGAGTGAAACATCTTGGCTTAGGTAACGACGAATGTAAAGAGTCATACTAAGAATGGCCGTGTGTGGCATTCACTTATGCTTGTGTGTGTTCAGCGTATTCGAAATGATCAGTTAGTTTTCCAAACCTTTTAATTTTTTTTAATGATTTATTGATGAATTCATTTGAAAGCTCGTTGGATATATACATGCATACACAGGCATCTGAACTGGTTAAATTTATATGCAATCTTTATTCTATTTTCACACACATTTCAAGTAAAACTTTTAAAGTTTCTTAAATGTCTATAACAATATTGAAATCTGCACGAGACTGTTGATGGTGATTATACTCATGAATGGGATGGCTTTGTTCCCATCATTGCTATTTCTGCTTAGATGAAGATGAATGTCAGGATCAGAAACACAACCGTGACGCGAATGCTCAGTGTAACATTACTTTTGGCTCATATAACTACACTTGCCTCAATGGGTACTCAGGAGACGGTGTGAACTGTCTGGGTACGTACTGCTCGTTGAAATGTGTATTATCACATGAATATAAAGCTACACAACCGTGCGTCTCGTGTTTTGGGTCATAGTGGATTTTCTCTCCACGTGGAAAGCAAGAGAGAAGTTATTTATTTACACGGTGAGTAAGGCTACTTTCGTAAATGTTTTACGTTGCCTTCTCCACAATTTATGGGTCATTACAACAAGGAGCACCAGGGAAAATTTCGCTAGTTTGAAGTTTGATAACTGAAGTGTTTTTGCCATGAAGCGTGTACATTTTACATTAACTACCAGTGTCTTCAACACTTCAAGCGTTTTTTTTAACCCAAGCTATTTTCTTCTTTCGTTTAGATATCGACGAATGTACTACAAATGTGCACAACTGCGACCCATTGGCTGTTTGTAACAACACTGTTGGATGTTTTCACTGCACATGTATGTCAGGGTATGAAGGAGATGGTACAACTTGTGTAGGTGGGAGATGTTTCCCTGTTCAGGTACAATAATCAGGCTTTGCCTCTCGTTCTCTATGGCAATGCACCAATAGGTTTAAGGAAGAGAGGTTTTTGTGGGTTAAAAGCAACAGATAAAGAGCTTCATTGGTACAACCTGAAACGATCATGCTCCTCGAAATTATTGCTCCTTCACAGGATTTTATAGATATCGACGAATGTGCATTACCAGCTCATAACTGTCATGGAGTTACTTAATGTTTCGACAATCCAGGATCCTTCAGCTGTGAGAGCCAAGAAAACTACATTGGTGATGGCATATCATGTGAACCCGTTAGTAAGAATTATGTCAAATTTCAGTAAAAGAATATTTAGCTGATAATTTGTTTTTATCATTTTTTTTCATTAATTCACTCTCGAGAATTATAGCAGAATGTTATTAGGAATATTCTCCAGAAAATGAGGACACGACTTTGCTAAGCCTTCCAGGTTGGATACCTCTTTCCCTCAATACTACGTGGCCTGATGCTCTCCAAATTTGCCCTAAGCCTTGAGGATATCAGTCAGCAGCAGAACTTGGCAACGACCCTATTCTAGCGTTGTACAACTCCTATGAAGGGGGTGGTTATGCAGCAGTCATGGGATACGATGGAAGCACTGCAAAAGGCGTCCTTAACGAGACTGTTACTAATGGATGGCTTGGTCGCCGAACTCGAGTTGTAATTCTAGAGTTTGCTGTTTTCATTGTCAATACCATCTTGATTAGCGTTGCCACATATTTTTACGCGGCCATATATACTGGTGCAGCCTACACTACAAGGAGAATTGAAACACTGGAGTTGTACAGCACTGAGTCAGGAGCTCTGATGTTTTCCTTAATTGGCCAGTTTCTGTTCATGGCAATGGTCCTCTTTTACTTCATAGTTATGTTAGTTCACCTTTATCAACAACGCTTAGGTTTCTCAAGTCTGTTTGGAACATGGTGGATTTCTTCATGATAACTTTGTCTGTAGCCTCTGTAGCATTTTACATGATCAGAGCTAAAAGCGTTTTGAACACCATCAAATCTATTCAAGCCAATCCATATGAAATCGTGCATTTCCACACAGCCTTGGATTGGCTTAACCTAGAAAATGCGTGTATTGCTGTTGCTGTTTTCATGGTGACAGTCAAGCTTCTGAATCTAATTCGTTTTAACCCACACGTAATATACTTGTTTTCGTCTTTTCGGTAATCTATAGGCTATCAACTCTCGTATATGCTCTTTGTTATGATCGTGTTTAATGCATTTGTTATAACAGGTATAATATTTTTCGGTGGTGTGGTATTAGAGTATTCTAGTTACCTCAATGCAGTCATGTTGCAATTTGAATTCCTGTTAGGAAAAGCAATCCCAATGGACGCTCTTAGAAGGGACAAACCCTTCGCTGGTCCGACGTTTTCGTTTTTGTTTTGTATATTCACAAATATATTTCTTATGAATATTCTGCTTTCTATCCTCAACGAATCATACGGTGACGCAAAATCAAACACAGAGGAAAATGCAAAAGAGCTTGAAATGGCACGTTTTATTGAGGAGCGTTTAATGGAAAATTTCCACGATGGAAGTAATCGGACTGAGTTTAAGTTGTTTTCCGATGAGACAATATTCGTCTACATGTGCCTTTCTGAAGCAGAGCCATTCTGTTTAAATTCTGAATGTATTATCCAATGTACAGAGGAACGAATGCTAAAAGTGGAAAAAAGACTTATTGTTCTCACTCGGCGAACAGAATACATGGAGGCTGATTATTTGAAGGAGGAAAATGACTTTACTGAACTCTTGTTATTAATGATAAATCCTACGGTGCGTGATTCGGGAAAGAAATAAAAAAATCATCCCTAAGTTTGCTTATTTCTCTTTGCTGAAACTCTTTTTGGCTTTTCTTGGAAGCGTAGATATTATTAAATAATTTTTTTGGTAATTAAATCTTAGAAGTAATGCTTGAGGGAACATATACAACACAGAAATTATCAAACGAAATATATATATGTTATTTGCCGGCTGGGAGGTCCGTATGGTGAAAAACTGTGACCGAGGTCTTGAAAATACTGCCCGAGGCCGTAGGCCGAGGGCAGCATTTTCAAGACCGAGGTCACAGTTTTTCACCATACGGACCGACCCTTAGCCGGTAAATAACATATTTATTGTTTTTAAACTTGACGAAATTCTTTCCGAAAAAACCCGAATGATTTAGGGCTGTAAATACGGCAAGATCTTCCATAAACTGAACAATGTTTGAGTGAGTAAATGGTAGTTAAAATAGAGGTGATGCAAATTTAAGAGAGATGCCTCAGCGAAACATTTTCATTTCCGTAACGATAAAGGTGATTTAAAAGGCTTCCAAACAAACTTTGAAAAATTATTTTTACAAGTATCTGTCACAATCTGACACCTGTCAATTAGAGAGCGCGTAAGAAAAAAAGATCGTAGGAACATTTGAAAACCAACAGAACTAGTTTGGCAAGGGCTGTCACGACAATGTTTTCTTCAAAATCAGTCAATAATCTAACGGAAAGTATTATTCACTCTCATCGACCATTCATTCATGCACGAATATTTACCTCTGTTCATTAAGTAAACGGCGAGGAAAGTAATTGTGAGTAAATTCAATTTTTTTACTTTGAAGTTGTGAGAGTTTGCTCGTTTGTTTGCTGCAATGGCGTGTGTGACTCTGATCTTTCCTTCACAAAAACTAAATTCGAACGGCACACTCCAACGAGACACAAAGGAATTTAATGCGGCCTTTTCTCAAAAAATTCCTTCAATTTCTGTTGTGCAATTTAAGGTACAAATGTCTAAATTGAACGGAATTGGAAAGACTCACCGGGAGCGTATATTTGTTGTAGAACTTAAATTAAAACTTCGCTCGCTCTTTCACTACGAACGAATTGCTCGAGAAAATTCAGATATTAAATGAATGAAAGTTCCATTGTTCAGTTTAACTGTAACCAAACACTTCACGTTTCAACTTTCTGGGTACTTTTTGTGAACGATTAAAATTAATTGCAGACGGTTTTTAGGCCGCTTGTCAACCAACGTAATGATACTATTGTTTATTTAAATTCATTCTGAAACCAATATTTTTCTGTCAACCAAAGTGATTTGATAGAGAGAAAAGGGAGGATTCATAAGTTATTTATCGGCTTGAGATAGTGACCGACGTGGTTGCTTAAAAATACTGCCCAGCCGGAAAACGAGGTATATTTATGAAAAAATGACAACGAAAGTTGGGATGTACTCGGCGACTCACGAAAGCGTTACCGTGGCCCGTGGGCAGAGATAGGAAAATACTGACCGGGTAAAGAACCAATCAGATTGCAAGATTCGTTACCGTGCCCTCTAAAAAAACAATAAACGACGTTTTGTCATCGTCGGATGCCATTGTAGCTTAGATTTTGCATCATAAAAGAATCTACATTTAAGCACATAAGGTGGCAAAATACTTTTAGTTTCTGCTAATTTGACGCTGATTGTAGATACGTTAAGACAGCCCCATGATATTTTGTATAAAGAAATTACATTTAAGCATATCTTTGGCTTATTCGAAGATGAACGAAAAGCGAACGCCTGTATTGTATATTAAAAAGCTATGCTAAATTTAAACGGTAACGTCAGTGATCGATCTAGTCGTTTAGGGTATTGAGGAGATTATGAGGTATCACCATTGCAAGATAAAAATGTAAATTTATATCCTAAGTTAATTTAAAGCGTAAATACACTTTGTTACTACGGCTTCAAATTTCAAGTTATTTCTCTAATAGGTCCTCTAGACCCTTAGCATATTTTGCGGTTTTTCCCTTGATTTATTAGTGACGTTTTAAAGCTAAGGATCATGTGGAATTGTCTAGCAGCACGGTTATATCGTTACAGAATAAAAGTTACGAGCGCGTATACTGATACGTTTTAATGTAAGAAGTCTTAGAAAGCGACGCAGTTTGGGTTTTTCAATGACGTTGACTCGAAGTGTAGAGTAAAAAAAATAGTGCGGATTGGCTTTTGTGCATCTTCTGATTGGATCCCCTGTAATAACCTAGAACATGACAGTTTATTAGAGTCAATCAAGCGCTGCGGCAATTTAGACTCACTCATACACAAAGTTATTTTTTAGATCAAAATAAAAGATTGTTATTTTGAAAGATATCCTATTTTGGCATATGTACGTTACACCTAAAATAGAAATTTATCTGAGGTCGTTTTGTACCCAGGGAACGAATTTCTTACAGAAGACAGTATCTATTGAAAACTGTCTTAATGAACCCCCGCCTTTATCATAGTCGGAATATTCAAAACAACTGTGTCTAAGAAGGCCTCTCTATTCATAATTTAATAACCTTTGCAGTAACCATGTAGTGATAGCCTAGGTAGTCTAGCAAAATAATATTACTGTTGGGGTTCTCGTTCATATTCACAAACGCACAAAATGATTACAATACGTACACTGTGAGAAAAATCAATAGTCAAGCTAACAGTTCCAAAACAAGAAATCCATCAAAAGAATAAATAACGAAAAGCTTGTGGAATCGATGCATAGCCGTACGATACCTAAGCACTCTAATATGTGCGATCATGTTCATCAACATCCTGTACCAGGCTATCAGTCAATCAGCACAATCAAAAGGTGCCTTGTCTAGGAAGTCGCTAAGCGTCGCTCACCTCCTATTTCACTTGTTTTCCATTACCGATGGCTGTAAACAGGCTACTTTCACCAATTAAAAAAGTTAAAGCTCCATGAGGAGGTAAAGAAAGATATGTATTAAGAAATTTTTCTGCTTTAGAACAACAAATGGGACAAAAGAAAAAAAAAATTTCCAGTTACCTTCAATCTAAAAAATTATGCGTAGTTCCATTTGTTTATGTCACCACCAATTTCCACAAAAATGATAATTAGGAGGATTATGTACTGGAACTATGATTACGTAACATGCTTTTTCTCAGTTTGGAATAAAGAAGAGACAAGATGAATGCTCAAAGGCTCTTTCTTTTATCAAAGGTGAGCAGGCTGACATTTGAATGTTTTCGTTTTATGATTGTTATACTAAGAGATCAACGTATTTTAATTCATACGAGACTTCATTGTCAGCATCAGAAACATTTCAAAGGAAAGGTATGAAGCTACAACTGTTCAGCGCTCAGAAAAAAATCCAACAGGCCGTGATTCAGGGTCTAAATGAAGATTTAATCGTACTGACAACCTCGTTTGAATGGAGTTTAGTTAGTAAAATGGAGCTAGCTTCCTCCAAGACAGTATCAGGAACTAATGTCCTGTTATTGGATTATAACGTAAGCGATATCAACAGAACAAAAATGCTCTTGCTCAGTTTCGGATGAAATAGCGACGAAATGAGGTTTCAAAGGCCTTTAATTTTTCTACAGGTGAACCTGCCGACCTTTACATATGCCTTCTATGTACTTCTGGTGTACTGAGTGATAAAATTGTTTTTTAGCCTTCAAAAAACATATATCTGTTCGCCTTATAGGTTCAAGTCTTAATCGTGGTAATTATCAGAGGCTTAGCGAGTGGAGGTATGTTTAACTCGTGGGATTTTGTACGCAAAGAAACTTTGATGTCTCAATGAAGAAGGCAGTTTATAGGGTGTTATCGAGGCTAAGATACCTGGCTAAAATATGTATAAACCTCGCGTAGAGCTTGTTACGCAAGCTGTTAAGGCCATGGAAAGGTAATTTTCTTGTCTGGTATCAAAAGCTTTTCAGGAGATATTATTATGTAATGAAACAATAGAATCGTAAGCGTTTGCCGTTTCATCTTGATAACGAACAAAAAATATAATTTTGTACGACATGTCGTGCATATTATGTTAAGAATAAACTGTGATATGGAAGGCAAAAATTTACCGAAATATGCAAATTTTTGGAACGCAGAAGCCTTTGATGACTGCTTCAGTAAAGCTGTTGGAGTTTCCAATTCAAGCATCATCCTTGACAGCTTCATGAGGGCAAAAAGTCATGATTCAAGCCACGGTTACAAAGCCCTACCATCACATGGACGTCTGAACGGTACCAGAGGCGATGGATGGTGCGCCCAAAAAAATAATAAAAAACAGTGGCTTCAAGTTGATCTCGGGAAAATTATTGAAGTGTGCGCTGTTGCAACCCAAGGAGACATCAATGGCAATGAATGGGTGATAGACTTTAAACTAGCGTACTCTAAATCTTTTGACGGCCGTTGGCAAATATATAAGGATGCTAACGACTTAGAAGTGGTATGATTTGCCCCAAAATGTTATTTTGTTTTAATACCGGAAAATTTATCATTTCATGATGGTGTACAATAAGATCTTCAAGTACACAGGTTGAACCCAGGATTACCTCTAGATGAATATGAAAGCGATCTTCGCAGCAAAGAACGCTACTTAAGCCGTAGTAAAAATAAGGCCCGAAAAATAAAATTCAGGACTATACGGGATGATCTTTGCGATACCGATGCAGTGCGTTACCTACTGAGCAAACAACCGGGTTAGACACGAACCGACATAATGACCAGCTCCCAGTCGGCTTGTTGCCTACATTATTGTTCGGTTTATGTGCTGAACTCATAGGAATGGCGTTACCGTTCGTCGTTATACAAGCAGATAGGCGGAGGGGTGTTTCATCGAAAGAAGTGGTTTTAATAGTTTTTTCTTGGATTGAGGAAGTTTTTGTTTTCTTCTGATAAACTATTCAGTGTGTTGCTTACTATTACACGTTAGAATCCTAATAGTGGGAAATTTGTGAGATGTCGGTCCCTCGTTCAGTTAGAGCGATAAATGTATTGCCAAAGTAACATAATCAAAACTGCATCGTCTGTCAGAAAGGGTGCGATCATCAATGTACTACCTTTCAACTTCGACAATAACTTGGGAGAAAGGCAGTTCCATAGTTGTCTCTTGTTGCTGACTGAAATTTTTATCTTCATTAAAATATTTTTTTAGGTATAAAGGATTTTCCGATATATATCACCTCATCTAATTTTCTCATTTTGCTAGAAATTTCGCAGGCAAGGTGGATCCAACATAATTAACCAACATCCATTGGAAGTTCCAGTTTATGCAAGATACATTCGTTTTCTTCCAGTTACTTGGAAAGGTCAAATCTGCCTCAGAGTTGAGGTTTACGGATCCGTTAGTAAGTTTGCTATCTACAAACGAGCTTACAATAACGAAGAGGATGGTAGAACTTTTATTTTTCGACCTAATAATGGTGGCAATCAATTACTCGTAAAATGTACAGAAACTTTAAAGCAGCTTACATTTACCCCCAACGTTAAAACGTAAACGAATCAGAGCTAATTCATATCGTGTGGTACCAATGGGGTTTGTGCCAAAAGGCTACGGTTTCTCTGTTTCTTTTCGTAAATGCTTCAAGAAGTGTTTTAAAAACTCAGTTTTTTTTTTCCGGAGAAGCTGAATGAGTGATGAGGGTAAAAAATCAAAATCAATTAAATGACTTTTGAGGTGGGTTGTTCTTGAGGTGGAAATCGAACTTATAACGGAGGTCGTCAAGGAGATTTTTCGATTTTGCTTGTAAATAATTGTAAAACTTTCCCGACTTCTCGGTAAGCTGTTTAAAACTTCTTTCTCTTACAAACCAAACGCACTACCACACCTACCGGAAAGAGCTTTCCGTATTCCGTGCTTTTTACATAGTTTTCATTGATTCAGTAAAAACTTGGTGTTTATGATGTCAATATGATGTAATGAAATAGAATAAAACCGTGGGGTGTAAGAATATTTGACAAACGAAAAAACTAGAGCACGCTTTAGATTGACTTGAAGTAGCTATTGCGATAAAATCATGATATTTGTGTTTAATACAAAACATTAATGCTACTTAGGGTGTGCAGAAGCTCAAGGAATGGAGAGCAAGACCATCGCCAACAAGCAAATTAGTGCCTCTTCACAATGGGATCACAATGAAGCTGCCCATAATGGTAGACTTCACTTTAAACAATCAGGTTACAAAGCAGGGGCTTGGGTGGCTCGCACAAATGATGAAAACCAGTGGCTCCAGATAGAGCTGATTAATCCATACGTTAAAATAACAAGGGTTGCAACGCAAGGACGAAACGGCCAAACTACGTTGAACTGGGTGACCAGCTATAATCTAACTTACAGCAACGATGGAGTAAAGTTCCACATTTATAGAGAACGGGGACATGTGGAGGCGAAGGTTTGCTACTTATCTAAATTAATCTTCATCAATAGTCCATCTCTATTAACTGGGAATATCTAAAAGAATACACTGTAAGAGTCAAAACATGCACTTCGTTAAGCGATCAATTTGAAAGTATAAAATTAAGCTTAAATTAAGAGGAACAACTGAGTTGCTCCGGTGAATAAGCACCAAAGTCTGTGCTGATCATTTCCCACAGCTTCCAGCTTTGGGGAATAAATAAGTTAAAGGATTCTAATTCAAATTACAGCGGAAAAATTAAACTTACAAATAAGATGATTATATCAAGAAGCAGACTAGAGAATTTTAACTGGCTCGGATCTCCATGATTTAAATCCGTGGATAATCTAACATTACAAGAGATTAAGAAAGATGTTTTTTCGTCTTGTGACGAGCGTGGGACATAGAAAAAATTCTGAGTCCCCATGAGGACGCTCGTGACAAGACGAAAAATCATTTTTCTTAATTCTTCACCGAGCTCAAAACTTACCATCTCTACTTTTCTGTCAATTACAAGAGATGTTGACGGCTTGTTTTGGCCTTTCAGAAGGTGGCATTAGTCAGTATACCATGTAAAAAGCAGACATTTCTACTCGAGCCTCTACAGGCGGTGAGATTGGTTTGACATTTCTTTAATGATTATCCTTTTCTAGAAACGACAGTGTTAAAATAGGATCTTTTATGCGATTCGTCCCTTTCTTTCATTGTATCACGTAACAAATCACCTGACTTAAATCGGAAGTTCGCTCTCAGCACACTTAGATCTTAACTGTAGTTCGGAATAGAGTCTAAAGAATCTCCAAAAAGTGTTATCTCTCAATTTCATTGGAGAATTAAGTCTTTCATGTTGTATGGATATTTCCGTCTTTCAAAGACGGAGAGTAGATGAAGTGGTGATAGCAAAAATGTGTTGTTAAATTTAAGAAATTAGTCATGATCTCTGATAATGAAGAAATGTAAAATGGTTTCCGTGTTTACATAGCCTGATGTAAACACGCGGGAGGTTGGGAGAACACGAGATAAGCGTAGGAAACTTATCGAGATTAGCTAACGAAAGAGGAGCGAAAACTGTGTTTATATACGCTCATGTAAAATGATTTTATGGCCAATCAGAGCGCGCGTACTATTTGAATTATTTTATAAAGGGTGAAATCAAACAACTGCCAAATTTCATGTCGAGCGGATAATGGCACCAACGGCTTTTTGCGGACTATTTTAAAACGGTGGATTTCAATTTGACTTAAATAGTTGAGACAACCCAAGGTCGAAGAATGCAGTGCATGCAACATAGGCAATACGTTTACGTTTCTCAGTGTGTTGATTTCATTTTAGAATTTCTTTGGAAACACAGACAAAGACACTGTCGTGTACCATGACCTCTTTCCACCAATTAGAGCAAGATACATCCGTTTCCGACCGACAGCCTGGTATAGGTGGATAACAATGCGAGTAGAGCTGTACGGCTGTTTAGGTGAAGATGAATTTGACTTGTTGATAACGAGTATTTCTTTGATTGACGTGCAGTTCGTAATTCACTTATCTTGTGTCCTACAAAATGTTGAAAATTATTGTGTTTAACTCAGTTTTAGCGAGGAAGGCAGTTGATTATATACTCTAAATTAAAACTTTCTGTTTATTATCTGAAAATTTAAAGAATGTCAAGACCCTTTTGGTATGGAAAACGGTGTCATTTCTGACGGACAAATTAGTGCCTCTTCAGAACTGAAAGCAGCTCATGCGGCGAATAAGGCCAGACTGAAAGCTTCAGAGGGAACTTGGCTGCCTCTCGTGAACAATGCCGACCAATGGCTTCAGATTGATTTGCTAAAAAACGATACCATCGTAACGAGAATCGCCACACAAGGACTGAATGATCCCAAGAAGAAAAAATGGGTTACTAGCTACAATCTACAATATAGTAACGATGAAATTAACTTCCACTATTACACGGAACAGGCAGTAAAAAAGGTATATTAGAGTACTACAGGGTAAGTTAGTATCATCAACTGAGCTTACAACGTAAATTGGCCGCCGTAAAGAGATTCAAACCAGACGTTTCGAGCGTTAGCCCTTAGTCAGAGCAAAGCACTACCGTTCATTTCGCTCTGACGAAATTACCATGTTAAACCCTCCCACCGACGCAGCATCACAGTTTCCTTATATTAGAGTACTGACCAGGCTTCTCTTTCCATAAAAGAAGACAGTATTGCAAAACGAACATGTAGAGTGCATCATATATATCATGAATTTGGCTGTTTTTCTCTTCTTTTATTGTTTCACGCATAATTATAGAGCATCTGTATAAGTATTCTTAAAAACCTTTTGTAGTGGCCGGGGAGCGCGGCCAACTAGGTATGTCATCAGAAGAAGAATTATTAAAATTCAAAATCTCCACCTTTCAAGACGAACATCATGCATGAAAATTTTTTACTTTTCCCACCTCGATGATTTTACTTTTTAAACTGCCGTCCCAGGCTGACCTACAACTACTAACTTCTCTTTAGTTGTTTTTCACTTTAAATTCTGATTTACAATTTTTAAAAAGTCAGTGAGATTTAATTATCATAACTTTATCGATTGAAGAAGTCAGCAGATTCTAATTTTTTTTTTTTTGATAATCAAGGTTTTTGATGGAAATATTAACAGGAATTCGATAGTTTACCACGACTTAAATCCCTCCATGGTGGGACGTTACGTCCGATTTCGTCCAATTGACTGGAACGGGGAAATTGCCATAAGGGTGGAGCTGTTCGGTTGTTCAGGTAATTTTAATGGTAGGACATAAGCTTTCTTGTCAAGTCGTCACCAAGCCGCATCTCGTATGAAGCACACCCAAAATTGACGTTAAAGCCTCATACGCAGTTCTAATCTCCCATTCTCCGACATTCCCCGATGGAAACTGTCCTCGCAACATCCAGAGGCAGGATGATAAGTTCAAGACAAGGATTCAAAGGTTCTCCTTCCCACGGGCCAAAGCACCATCAGCTCCGACTAAGTAACAACTATTATCAAACAACATGCTGGGGAAAGCGAGATAGCTCTTGTTGTGCTAGCTACTTGGCTCATGAACCTTTCGGTCACATCGTGTACGCTTTTCTGCCTTTATAGAAAATTTTTCCCGAAAAAAAAGGAGCCTTAAACCAATAGAAAACCTTTTTTTTATGTGATACAATCAATGCGCGAATTTGTCCAACAGCTTACTAGTCCTGTCAGGAAACACACGCATACGCACACTGGAATGTACGAAGAATTACGATCTCCATACTCTCAAGGACGGACATATGGTAGGACGTACGACTCGGCAGACTGACAGAAAAAAAAAAAAAAGTAGGATAGGATAGATAGGGCAGAAGCACACAGGAGCTTACATCATCTAATATGATTTTTGCAGATTTGGATGAATGTCAAGAGCAGAAACACAATTGCCACCGCATGGCGCATTGTAACAATACTGTGGGCTCGTTCAATTGCACTTGTCTTCAAGGATTTACAGGAGACGGTGTCAGCTGTTTTGGTATGATATATGACCGACTCCACGTGCTAAAATGTGTCTCAGCTGAACCGGGAATACCCCCAACTAAATGTATAATTTAAGACAGTATTGCATCATTTTGTTGTTTAGAATGCATAAACGTCTTTTTCCTACTTGACAAAGAGCTGTGGACGAGGAAGTTTTGTCTCGAGAAAAGAAAACTATTTGAAAGATCATTAAGTCAATATCTCCTAATAAGCTACGAAATATGCTCGCACATATTTCCTTGAACAGTATGTGTGTATGCTCGCTCTCGAAAACTGGTACCTTTTGAACAGACAATTATTTCAGGACTTTAGATATGAATAAGTCTTCAAAGATACATATGTAGCTCAGCAAAATATTTTCCCTACATGTATGCCCATATTTCCTGTGACATAAATGCATACCTTGGTATCGTACCCATTTTCTCAAATAAAGTGACTTATAGATCACTTTGAACCACGATAACCGTTTAAAACTTGTTGAACAACGTTTAACCCTAGATTTAGATAGGGCATACTAAAGATATTTTCCAACTCCGACGAGATCGTTTCATCAAAAATCATTTCTTCTTATTTAAAAAGATAATACGTGCCAGTGAAAAAGAATTGGTACCAAGAATTCCTTGTTAGATAATCAAAAGACTCATTATTTTGCGAGTTTTGCTGATGTTTCTAAGTTTTGAAAATTATCTAGGAAATGGAAAAGTTCACTAATCATCACTGGAAAACGTATTCAAAAACGTACTCAAAATGTACGCACATTTAAGATTTGGATGTCTCGTCATATTTTCTGTATCAATCTTGCCTCCTCGTTTCAATATTAAGTCAATGTTCTCTTTAAGTTTACAAACGAGGGCCATTTTCCAAATTGGATCACAACTTCTCGTTTCACTTCATCTAATGCAAGCTGTTATTTATTTTCATAATGACCTTTAAATCCATAGACATAAAGGAGTGCAAGGAAGAACTGGATGACTGCGCCCCTGAGGCAAAGTGCTCTAATAGATATGGATCATTCGTATGTACATGTTTACCTGGATACTCTGGAGATGGACGATTTTGCAATGGCACGTATAACAAGCTCAAATCTTTGGTTCACCGTTACGAACTCTGCCACTAACGTTCTGAATGAATTATTAGCTAAACGTTCCCTTAAACATCGACATCACGTCGATGAAATTGTTAAAAACAGACTTTAGATACTCATGCGACTGGAAATGTTGATGAGAATTAAAAAATTAACAATGATTAAAAGAAAACAATGATAAAATTGATAATAATAACAATATTATTGACAGAATACCTGTCAGTACAATATGGACAAAAATGTAATCTTACAGCTTTTGATATCTGTGAAATTTAGGGAAATTAAAGAATCATTTCATAATCATCACTGTCAGTCTGACACCCCAACAGTAGTAACAAAACATTATCCATGTCCCATTCTTTTGAATATAAGCCACGAGAAATGATTTTTTTTTTCTTTGTATGTTTTTTTTTTGAGATTAGATTTGACAGCTATACAGTCTTAATTACGTATTTCTCTTTTTCGTATAGATATTAACGAATGCACCACAAATGTGCACAACTGCGACCCATGGGCAGTCTGTAATAACACAATCGGATCTTTTAATTGCACATGCTTCAAAGGATATGAAGGAAATGGTACAAGTTGTGCTGGTAGGAAATATTCGCAAGATGAATTCTTTCTTGCTGTCTTTTATTTACTGAGGCACTTATCCATGTCACAAGACCTAAACACATTTATGGAATTATGTAGATGTCGATGAATGTGCAACCTCAACTCACAACTGTCATGGAGTTGCTCACTGCTTTAACAATCCGGGGTCCTTCAGCTGCGAGTGCCGCAAAGACTACACTGGAGATGGAATAGCATGTGAGCCAGACGGTAAGATTCAATTCAAGTTTCAGTGAAACAAAACTGGGCTGAAAATGAATCATTTCGTCAAGGTCTATACATTACTATAATCGAACGAGGTACTCTGAGTAAAATTATCATGTTTATTTTAAGATTTGATGAAAAGTGAACAAAGCCTTGGAATACTTCATAACAGAAACCCCAATGTAAAACAACAGAAGATAATTCAGTTTGTTGTTGATAGCATGTTACAGAAAGCTTGTTTCTTTGAGGTTGAAAGCTAGAGAAGATTTTTTTCCTATATATTCTTAGGAGATTTCTCGGTGACCATCAGAAATATTTCAAAAGACAAGTACCATGCCACACCTGTAAATCGTTCAGTCAAAAGCGTCCAGGAAGCCGTGATACAGGGTCTAAATGAAGACTTAAATGTACTTAAAAGCACTTTTCAATGGAGCGTGGTTAGTGAAATGGACCTAGCTGCTTCCGAGTCAGCATTAGGTACTTTAGTTAGTCAAGGAACAACGGAGTGGACAATAAATAGACGATCCATACCAGCAGGTATCTACCAAGTCAAATTCAATGCCTCAATTACAGTTGGAGATCAAGAATCCCCACGGATGCTCAATGCTTTTGATTATGGCTTCATCGAGGTTATTGCAGCTCCAGTGCGAGCAATCATTGATGGGGGAAGCAGTGTTCGATGGGGATCCAAAAACATTGTGACTGTGGATGGTTCCCTGAGTTACGATGCTGATATTGGTCCTGGAACACAAACTGGGCTCAACTTCACGTGGACCTGTCGGAATAACACTAATGTGAGCAATACCTGTTTCGGTTCATTTCATGGTGAAGGAAACTTAAGCTCCACAGTAGTTAGAATTGATCCCAGTGGACTTGAAATCGATAAGACTTACTTCTTACGACTTACCGTTTCCAAGGATGTGAGAAGTTCATTTGCTGAAATGTCCTTTGCTATAGCTGCTGGAGAGGTACCTCAGGTGACTCTCAGGTAATTTTTTTTTCGAATTATGACAGGCCAATGTTCACACGTGGTGGTGCGTTGGCCTCGTGGTTAGTGCGCTCGACTTCGGATTGAGTGGTCCGGGCTCGAGTCGGCCGGGGTCATTGGTTGTGTTCTTAGGCAAGACACTTTACTCTCACAGTGCTTCTCTTCACCCAGGTATACAAATAGGTACCAAGAAATATGCTTGGGTTAACCCTGCGATAGATTAGCATCCCATCCAGGGGGGGAGTGGTAATACTCCTGGCCGCCTCATGCTAAGGAAACTGGAGCTAAGCCCCGGCCCCATGGGCCACTTGGAGCTGTATAAAAGAGCCTTCTCCTTTTACTTTTAATGTTCACAGGCGGATTCTAAATTGCTTGGGAAAAATATTAGATATTCGACAGATTCGAGGAAACAGACGCTGGCATTTTTATTGGTATTAAAAAGTACGATTAAAATCTTTTCGCAACTTAAGAATAATTTCAGTGAATTGGACTTAAAAGCTTCATTAGGTATCTGGAGGTTTGGCCAACGTGCAGCATAGCTCTTAAAGACCTGCTCCACTAGTGACGGGCGGGTACTGGTTTCAAAGAGTCATATCGCTATGCAACTGAAACACCTTTTTCAAGCGCATAAGGAATATTTTAATTCAGCTATTTACGTTAAGTCAATAAAGTGCCATTGAAGCTGCAACTGTTTTGACGATTCTCCTCACTGTTATTGCTTTTGTGTATGTTTTTGTTTGTTTTTTTTTTTTTTGTTTTTTCTTTTTTATAGTTTACTTTCTTTTTTCTTAGATGCTTCGTGGATTGCGGCGCAATAGTATCTGCGTCAAACAAGCTCCGGGTGACATCAGAGTGTCCTAATTCTCCTTGTAGCGGATCCACTTATGAATGGTGCTTGTCCAAATTAAATGGTTCAAAATGGGTAAACATACCTATTTTACCCAATATGACTTCAACTGCTGTAAATGCTACTAATATGATTATCAAGAAGAGTTCATTGCAATCTAAATCAAAATACAATCTAACATTATTTGTAAAATCTCTGGAGGGGACATATGGGTTTTCTACGCTCCTCTTTGAAACTGCAGGGGAGCCGCACAGTGGTTACTGCACGGCGTCAGTCTCTGAAGGCGTTTCACTGGAGACTGAGTTTACTTTCAAGTGCTTCGATTGGCAGGATGCGAGCTTACCGCTTACTTATGAATTTACCCTTGGAGAGGAGCCTATATCTTATGGCACATCACCCTCGTCTGTATCGACAGTGTTACCGACAGGATTACCGGACAAAGATTTTCTGCAAGAAGTCACTATTGTTATCAAAAATGCAGTTGGGGTAGCTGTTGAAGAGAAATTATTTATCAAGGTGCAGTGATTGGTATTACAAAGCAAGAAAAACTCGGAACTTAACCAAAGATTTTCATGTTTTAAAATTTTGATCTATATAAACGGTATGTTTTTCCTTTACCTACTGACCTCTGAAGTTTTTCCAGCAGAAAACTTCCAAGATCATCTAATATTACGGCACCGTTGCTATGATCCATTAAAAATGTGTAATGTTGATTTAAATTCATAGGAACTCATACCCCTGGACACAAATTTTCGATTTTTCTCATAAAAGACTACAATAAAACTTTTCGTCTGCAGGTAAAGCCATCATCAAGCCTTGATTCATGCGTTTCGTCACCCGAGCAAGTTGCAAACAAGTTAAAAAGTTTTGTAGTAGGGGAAGGTAACAAGCTGGATGAATTTCTCAACAAAGGTGAACTTAGCCAAGCTGTTCAACTCGGTATATCTGTCATCAAGTCTGCAAATGAAAAAAGCGATTGTGGAAAAGAACTGGACCCTAAAGAGAAAGCTTTGGTACGTGAAAAAAAAAACTGCTTAAGTGTAATCAGCAAGACTTAAAGATTTCTCTTATAATTCCGTTTTAATTGTCTGTATTACAACACAATTTTATTGCGATTTCTATTTATCTTGAGTGGTAGGTGAACGTTAAATATTTTTGGCACATTTTTTTTTGTTTGTAGATCTTAAGCGCATTGATTACGAAGTTTACAGCCGTAACACCAGAGAATCTTGAAATGTCTCGTCTGGTTATGTCCGTGGTGAGCTTAGCTATGGGAGCTGAGGTTGACGTCAACGATAACAGCAACAATGACAACCTGGTGCGCCCTATAAATTTATACGCAAACATATACAACAACTCAATTTTAGCTTGTACATGGTAACGGGAAACGAACTGATCTCTGTTGCAAGTCCATTGAAATAGTATTGAATGAATATCAGAAGGTTACAGCTTTCAAATTTCAAGCAATGACGGAGTTGAAGCTGATGCCTCCCTAATAATAGATAAACTCGATTACTAACTGAGCGATGCTCAGTGCGATCGACAAAAATAGGCTTTTTCTTGCCTTTAAAGGATTCTGATTACAAATAAATGAGAAATTTTGACCTGAAGATAATAAGGAGACAACTAGCGACGTTAAACTTACAGGTAAACTTTATTGAGGAAGTTGCGTTTGACTTACGTTATGATCTCAGAAAATGTCTTTCGTTTTATTTTTTTTGAATAATGTGGTCCGTTTTCTTGCTACCAATATCCTTAAGAGCAAAGGGATTCGTTGATATTATATTAATTTTTTTTTTATCAGAAGTTGACGATGCGATTGACCGAGAGTACCTCAAATATGATGATTTCTTCCCTTAACGATCCAGAAGAGCCTTTTACATCAGCGTTGGAACTAGTAGCTACAAGTGTTACAGGCTGTCTGACCAATGTTCTGAAGTCTGCTGCAGGCTCGAGTCAAGATAGAGCAGATTTGGCAGCTACCACAACATCTCAAGAGGTAAGGATCGCAAACACAGGTTCCAAAATAAAAACGTACTCACCCACGTATTCCCTTGCTAGTAGTTTTTTTGACTACAATTTTTCATGACTCATTTTATGGGGCTAAGAGGGAATGAAAATTAAGAGTCTAGGGAAGTCTAACAGTCATTATTAAAACACACTATGGCTTACAATCTTTCTTTCCTTCCAGTTTGTGAAAAAGGCCTCCGAAAAGCTGAGCAGCATGAGTGATGCATTTTTTGGCCGTTTGGTGCCATCAGAAGATCTGGTCCTAAAAACTCCGAACATGGCAATATCGTTGAAAAAGGTCACAGCCAATGATGCTAAAGGACTCAGCATGGGAGTTGGACCAAGCAAATTCAAACTTCCCAGCAGCCTTGGAAATATAGGTGGTGGAGAGATAAATGCAAAGGTATAATGCTATTCTTATTTTAATTTTCACATTTTAACGAAGATGAAATAGGACATAAGTAATCGCTGATAGTGAAGTTAGGCTGTCTTTTACGACATTCAAGTGTATGCACTTTATTCTCGTGATAAAATGTTAAAGCAATCTACAAGGATATTCTCTGAAAGCTGTGGACGTAATTTCGTCACTTCAATTGACCGAAAAATTAATCCAGTAATACTGTGGTTTCATTTCACATACTTTCAAACAACATAACCTATCGTATAGCTTATCATCGTGTAATCTGAATGTTTGAATGTATAGAGTCCCAGTAATGGCAACCGACGTCTCTCAAAAAACATAGCTGAAGTCATCACAAGAGTTAGTTGCCAGAGTCCGAGAGTCAGAATCTAATAGACTCTGTGTCTTATTTCAGATGCAAGCAGTTGATTTTAATCCTTTTACATGGGACAGTAGCAGCAAGAAAATCAAATCAAGCGTCACGAGTCTCGAGCTTAAGAGTAACAGTGCAGAAAAGCTAAATGTGTCAAATCTTGATAATGACATCGAGATCGTCATTCCGATTTCTAATCCACCAAAGAACTCTAGCAACACAACACAACATTATTTCCTCAAGCCTGACCGCATATCATTCCGAATTTATTACGCAGACCTGGCCGACGTCCCTGTCTCTTTAAGATTGGGTTTGGCCATAACAGGAGTGGAAATTGAAATGCGAATTAAATTTGGACAACGACCAACGCTGGTGGACTTCGACCACAACTTTACTTTTATGTTTAAGTCTAAATGTGACAATCAAACAGTTGTTAATACAAACTGCTTTACCAAAGATGGGTCTGTGAAAGTCATGCCTTCTAAACCTGGTTTTCTCTACGTGGGCTTGTTGATCAAAGGCTCTAAGAATGAAAGTCAACATTCTAGGCAAAGAAGATCATGTTTCGATCATCGTCGCGAAAGACGGTCATGTGTCGGCGTTAAAGATCCACCACCGAAAGGAGCCCTTAAAACCATGGTTCCGCAATATGACCCAAATACAGACATTAACTACACTTTAACCATTATCCAGTCAAGCTGTTTGTATTGGTCAGAGGAAACAGAAAAGTGGACTGCGGAAGATTGCAGGGTAAAGTAAATAATGCAAAATCTTTTAACTCCTGATAAACCTAAACATTACGCATGTGAAGTCCATCGTGTCTCATTTTTTCCACAATGAGGGAACCTATTAGCTCTGTATTAAAATATATCAACTAGAAACAAGTTTTTGATTCCAAAATTGCGGGTCTTTGTAGTCGAGGAGACGATAGTCCTCGACAGGTGCGGCTTCTATCAAAACTTAGCCATATCCGATATCAGTTTTTTTTCTTGCGGACCGAGTTAAGTTTGGTAACGTAAGGGGAAATCGATTCACCAAAACTCTTTTTGTTAAATTTAAATGATATATTTCAGGACATTTATATCCACAGGTCAGTCAAGATTCAAACACCACGCATCTAGTATGCCTGTGCAATCATTTGACATCTTTTGGTGGAAACTTCATCCAAGCACCGAATCCAATTGACTTCGACAAAGTTTTTACTGAGTTTTCAAACCTTGCTGAAAGTGGCAATATTTCAGTACTTGTGACAATTGCCTGTTGTTTCCTTCTGTACTTCGTCGTTTTGATCTTTGCAAGAAGGGCCGATAAGGGAGATGAAGACAAAGTATGGTCATGGTTGCTACTACATCTAATTCAATATTTTTATTCCTAAATAGATTGATTTTTTTCATTTTTAGGCTGCTATTGAAATATAAATAAAACCTGCTACGTTCTTACCAGTAGATTTTTAACACCAGAATGTACCCTTCTTTTCAGATTTGCCCTCCTAAATTGATATCAGTTGTTAAGGGAGGAACATATTACTATGATATGGTTTTAAGCACTGGTGTGTGGAAACATTCAGCAACAACAGCTAACATAACCATCAGTATCAAGGGCGACAACAGCGAGCAGAGTCAAATTCCATTGCGAGAGAAAGCGGACACGAGCCAGTTTTTCGGACGAGGGAGTATCAATGGCTTTGTTCTGGCGATGGCTGAAACCATTGGCACATTAAAAGAAATTACTTTGGAACACGATAATTTGGGTGATAATCCGTCTTGGTTTGTGGAGACTGTGGTCATTAGAGACCGGCAGACGGAAGAAAGGTGGGTGTTCCCCATTAATAGATGGCTTGCGTTGGAGAAAGGCGACGGTCAAATAGAGGTTACTGTGAACAGTACTACTTACTCTGCCTTCTCGGCTCAGGTTCGTTCGCACTTTCCCCGAAAAATTGCCGACAGTCACCTGTGGATGTCAGTGTTTGGAAAAGCATGTAGCAGCACCTTCACACGTGTGCAAAGAGCTTCATGTTGTCTTTCAGTTCTGTTTAGTGCAATGATAGCTAATGCCATGTTCTATAACATTGGTGGTGAATCCGATGATGCTATTCAGGTTGGGCCTTTTAAGTTTTCTTGGAAACAGATAGTCATCGGAGTACAAAGTGGCATTATCATTGCACCTATAAACATAATAATTGCTTTCCTGTTTAAGTCTAGCAGACGGAGGAAGAAAAGGAGTGAAAAATACCAAGTGACAGACGAGGCCCAACGACTTTTGGATGAAATAACGGACACTGGTTGTATGCTACCTCATTTCTTTGTCTACGTAGGCTGGTTACTCTGCTTCTGTACGACAATAGCAGCAGCAACGTTTACGCTGTTTTACAGTCTAATGTGGGGAAAGGAAACCTCTGAGCAGTGGCTTGCTTCCATCGTGATCTCCAATGGACAAGATATTTTCGTTGTACAGCCCACGAAGGTAATGATAGCAGTCATCATTATATCCTTTCTCCTGATCAGAAAGAATAAAATCCAATGTGAAGAAGAAAAAGAGGAAATTGCAATCGATCCTCTTGCAATTGAAATAGACTTTTCAAGTGATGATCCCAAACAACGATTTAAGAAATGTCAGCGTGAAAAGTTGAGGGATAGGTCAAAAAAGGAAGCTCAGTTAACAACCATGACAAGAGACATTATCCTTCATCTGATATTTGTGTTTCTTTTGGCCATCGTTTCTTATGGAAACAAGAATGGAAATCGTTTCCTGATGACAACTGAGACGAGAAATCGATTCACCAAATTCAATGTGGTAAGATTCTCGTTTTAAGCTAAAACACACTTTCTAGTTTATAGTTAGAACGCATTTTTGTTGTTATTTCCCTTTTGCAAGACAATCCTAAAATCGTTCAAGAATGAAATGGCTTTTTAAAGAAAAATTAGAACTAGGGTTAACTCTCTAACTCCAAGGTCAAATTTGTAATATTCCTTACTGTCAACCATACTATTCTTATGATGTTAGTTCAGAGAATTTAGTATTGGATCAGCTAACTATCCTTAAATTGATATTTTCTTTGTTCGCATCACTTATTTGGTTGATATTGCATTAACATTGTAAGGAGAAATTCACTCGCAGTGTTAAAGGGTTAAGGCATTGATCCCTGCTGGTGAGCTGCAATCAGTTAAATTGCAGAAAAGAGGCCGGTAAATGCTCAAGTACATCCCAACTGATCTACGAAGCCATATGTTGGAAAAAGGTCAATTATCATTAGTTTTTCACTCCCGGCAAGGAATCTGAACACGTCTGATTTAAGTTACATTTCAATTTAAAAAACCAAGTATTTCAATCAGTGCAAAAAATAAATGTTAGGATCTGCCTTTTGTTTTGTTGGATGATTGTGTTTATTTGTTATTTTGATAAATATATCAACCTCATCAGATAACAATGTCAACAGCTCTCAGAGTCAAATTTTTTATTTTAGGTATCTGATGCACAAAGATTTGAAGCCTGGTTAAGGAACGAATTCCTATCAAACATTTATAATCAGGTGTGGTATAATGGACTTGAGGAAAAAAACGACCTGTACATCGAAAACAAGATGTCCATACTAGTAGGAATGCCTTGGTTGCGACAGCTCAGAACTAGAAAAGGTATACTTAAATGAGATTGATCTATTTCCTTTTTTTAATGCAAAAAATAAATTTCGAAGTAGGCTCCTGCTGCAAAGTGCATAGAAAAATGAGACTTATTGAATGAAAAAAATGAGACCGAGAGATAAATTATAGGAAACATATAGAGAGCCCTATTTCGAAATGATGTGACATACTCACTTCTACTAGGTGTGTTTGCAGCTTAGTAAAGTCAGTTTTCACCTTTGATGATCACACTGTCGCTCACTTCCCGGTGTGCTGAAAATTAATTGAAACAAAATCTTCCTATTCACACGTCTTAGAAATCACTGGAGTTTTTAAATAGGCCATTCATTTTGAGATATAAACCTTAAAGAATCAGCTTGTTTATTTTCTTTTCACCGTAACATCATTAATAGAAACTAAAGGTTTTAAGTTTTGTCTTTGTATTTTTCCTTCAAGGTTCCTGCGAATCCTTTCCTAAAATCGTCTCAACTTGCTATTACGACTACTCCTCAGATAGTGAGGACACTACTTTCCTAAGCCTTCCCGGCTGGAGGCCTCTTCCCTTCAACACATCGTGGCCAAATGCTTTACAAATGTGCCCAAAACCTTGGCGATACCAATCAGCAGCGGAACTTCGCAACCATCCTATCCAGGCGGCATACAATTCATATGAAGGGGGTGGTTATGCAGCTGTTATGGGATATGACGAAACCACTGCACAAGGTGTCCTCGACGCAACTATTGGCCTTGGTTGGCTTGATCGCCAGACTCGAGTTGTAATTCTAGAGTTTGCCGTTTTCAATATCAATACAAACTTGATTAGCGTTGCCACATACTTCTACGAGGCCTTAGCTACTGGTGCAGCCTACACTACAAGGAGAATTGAAACACTGGAGTTGTACAGCACTGAGTCAGGAGCTCTGATGTTTTTCTTAATTGGCCAGTTTCTGTTCATGGCAATGGTCCTCTTTTACTTCATAGTAATGCTAGTTCACCTTTATCAACAACGCTTAGGTTTCTTCAAGTCTGTTTGGAACATGGTGGATTTCTTTATGATTATTTTCTCTGTAGCCTCTGTAGCATTTTACATGATCAGAGCTAAAAGCGTTTTGAACACTATCAAATCTATTCAAGCCAATCCATATGAAATCGTGCATTTCCACACAGCCTTGGATTGGCTTAATCTGGAAAATGCGTCTATTGCTGTGGCTGTTTTCTTGGTGACAGTCAAGCTTCTAAATCTAATCCGTTTTAACCCACACGTAATATACTTGTTTTCGTCTTTTCGGCAATCTATAGGCTATCAACTCTCCTATGTGCTCTTTTTTCTGATCGTGTTTAATGCATTTGTTGTAACAGGCATGCAGTTTTTTGGTGGTGTAGTATTAGAATATTCCAGTTACCTCGATGCAGTCATGTCTCAGTTCGAATTCCTGTTGGGAAAAGCAGTCCCAGTGGACGCTCTTCGAAGGGACAGACCCTTCATTGGGCCGACTTTTGCGTTTTTGTTTTGTATGTCCACAAATATATTTCTTATGAATATGTTTGTTTCTGTCCTCAACGAATCATACGGTGACGCAAAATCAAACGTAGAGGAAAATGCAAAAGAGCTTGAAATGGCACGTTTTATTGAAGAGCGTCTAATGAACGTTTTCCACGAGGGAAGTAATCAGACTGAGTTTAAGTTGTTTTGCGATGAGACAATATTCGTCAACATGTGCCTTTCTGAAGCAGAGCCATTCTGTTTGAATTCTGAATGTATTGTCCAGTGTACAGAGGAACGAATGCTAAATTTGGAAAAAAAACTAATTGTTCTCGCTCGACGAACAGAGTACATGGAAGCTGATTATTTGCGAGAGGAAAATGACTTAACTGACCTGTTGTTATTAATGATAAATCCTTTGGTGCGTGATTCGGAAAAGAAATCAAAAGATCATTTCTAAAGGCAGAGATATCTTACGGTATAATTTAGCCTAGTTTTCTTTCACTGAAATTGTTTTTGCTTTTCTTGGAAGCGTAGATATTATTGAATGTTTTTTTAGGTAATTGTATCCAATAAGGCTTGATGGAATATTTCCAGCACAAAAATTAGCAAATGAAATAAACGACGTTTTTTCGTGGCCGAAAGTCATTGTAAATTAGATGTTAACCTTAGTGTTTACATCATGCAAGGATCTACAATAATATTATCTGCATAAAGTAGCAAAACAGTAACAGTGACAACACATGTGACTATAAGGAAAATTTTTGTTTAACACAGTTTTGCTCTGATTGAGTATTGGCTATTGGCTTAAGATGTCTGATATATGACATTTCATATGTCAGGCAGTCAAGAGTACTCCTGCATTTCTTTAACATATTAAAATGGTCTTTGAGGTTCATTGACTCCATACTGTGTTGACGTAGAGGCCAACGAGGGTAGCCGATAGGCCGATAGGCCTAATATATAAGATAACACAGCCACCAAGTTTTTGTAATGTAAACCGAGCCTCCCCGCTCCAAAGGCATGCTTTTGACACTAAAATTCCCTCCAACCAAGGAGTTTTAGCCCAGTAACTGAGGTGTGCAATGCAATTAGAAGGACTGGGAACTAGTCTGACCATGAGGTTAAAAAACCCGCCATGTTGTTTTGTCGCATTAGAATAAATGTTACTTTTGCTAAATTAAACGAGTTAAATTTATGAAGAATTTTTTTGTTTCGAACTCCAAACTCGTTGGGAAGAACATTTTTTTTAGCAGAGCGAGGTTCTCACCGAGAATTACGAACATGGAACATCTGAAGAAAGAGAAGATGAGATCGAAGTGTTCGTACACAAGGAACCGAGACAAGTTGATGATGGCGATGGAAGGAGGACTATCGTCAAGAACGGAAGTTATGGAAAGTCTAAATGTTTTTTGCGGACGCCCATGAAGATGTGCTTCGAGCCTGTGGCAAGATAGAGAAGTTTTACGAGGCTAAAAAGGATTCAGGAAACCTCAGTGCGGTTTCGAACGAACTGAAAGCAATCGAAGAAGATTTTACCGAAGTCGAAGGAGTTGTGAAAGGATATTTGAGCAACGCTAACAGATCATCAGTCAAAGACCAAACGGAACGACTAAAGGAAGAAGTATCCAAACGACAAGAATAAATCGGCCGAAGCGAACGAGAAATCGAGCGAACGTATGCGCTGTGCAAAAGACAACTTGAACAGAGCCTTCGTAGCCAGAATCCACCAACAGAGGAAGACCAGGGGGCGGGAAAAAACTGCCAGCAGTGAAAGATGCGACCAAGAACGAGATGCAGAAGCGAAATCAGAAAACCTTAAAAAGATTCCGATGCCCAAAGAGCTGTTAAACGAACAAAATTCTGATCTTCTGACCTCTTCAAGCTATCAGTATGCTTTTGCCGCTGTAATGGGACCACGACGTCCTGACAGCATCGAAGGCATTCTGAAAATACCGAAAAGTGAGGGGTTAATTTGGTCAGACAGCACAGACGTACTTTAGTGGGTTCATGGACGGAGCCGGAAGTTTAAACCTTTTGTGGCGAATCGTCTGGGTGAAATTCAGTCATTGACCAATCCAGAACAGTGGAGGCATGTGCCAACCAAACAGAATTCAGCTGACCTACTGACAAGAGGATTAAGTGTCTCTGCGCTCACTGAAGAAGATAGGTGGTGGAAAAGTCTGGTATTCTTGGTAAAGAAAGAAACAGAGTGGCCAGAAAAGAAGGTTGTAGTAACTAAGACACGGAGGTCAGAAAACAGTACAGGGAAGATGTACAAGAGCGATCCTTTCTCTCGACAATGAAGGAAGATCGTTTGAATCCAAAAGGATATATTTCAGCTGGACTAAGCTAACAAGGGTGTCGGCAACACTGGATCGTTTCCTGGAAAACTGTCGTTTACCATCGTCTTTATAGCGGAGCTCGCAGCGCGCGCAGCCTAACCCCATAGTTATACAAAATAGTAGTAACCCATCAAGCTGAAAAAATTTGGACTTGACACCTTATGGGCGTTCGTTCAAGGTGCTACTTTCAGCATGCACGGCTAGCTGCATGGCAGGCACTATCTTAGCTATTACGTAATGGAAGGGCAAAGGAGAAGGCAATGCGCAGGCGCGATTGCGTACGTGACCAGGATAGCACATTAGTGTGCCCCAGGAGACACCGCCAGATCACAATGAAGAGCGCATACTCGAATGCCGAAAGAGACAGAGCGGCCAAAGAAAGCAAGAAGTAAAAGATATCAAGCGAGTCGAGAAAAACGCGCAAGAAAGTTAGAAAGGACGCTAAAATAAGTAGAAAACGGCGAGAGGAACGCGAAAGAGAAAAAGAAAAGGCAGCGAAGAGCAACGAGAGAAAGAAATGCAAAGAGCTCCAGAAAATAAACTGAAAAGGGGTCATGAAAAAAGAGAAGTCAACCACAAAGGTTCCGAGAAAGAAAAGAAGGTAAATCGTGTCTCATCTGGGTTTTCTCTCACGCTAAGGCCCAGAAAAATTCAAACCTTTTCGCCCAATCTTCGTTTGATACTAGCTTCAGTTTATAATTTAAATCACGTTTCGGTAAAACAACGACGTTTGTATTCATCGCTTTAAAACTCTCGCGCCGGTTCATCGCTCAAATAACATTTAAAAGTGTTCGTATTCTTAATATTATTTCTTGTCTTACCTTTTGGAATGTTTAATACAGTCGTAATGTTTAGGGAAAATAAGTTAAATTACGGATTATGTCTTGTTTGGAAAGTTTTAAAATGATGGCGAACGGCGTGAGCAAGTTTCTATCATTCTCTCCTCAGTTAGCTATCGCATGGTTTAAATTATTCATTTTAAAAAAGTGTCGCTTTGTCGAAGATTTGTTGTTTTACTCTGAGAAAACACCATCCAAAACTTTTCAACTTATTAAATATAGCCAATGACAACGTCAACTCAACTTTTAAACCAAAGAGAAAACTTAATTAATGTTTGAAAATGATTTCTGTGATGTGGAAATGAAATCCAGGTATTATCTCGCGTTTTTTTCTTGAAGACATCCACATTATATGCGGTTACACCAGAGGTTACCGAATCAAACAACAGAAAATATCAGAAAAAGAAGTAGTATATTTCCAACCAGAGGACAATCATGAAACAATAGCCGAAAGCCAAAAGTTAAAAAAATTCAGGTTCAAACACGAGTTGAAAATTACTCTTCTTTTTAATTTCTTACGCTAAACAGAGGAGGCTGAAACGTTAAGAAAAAACGGTGGGGCAAGCAATCATACCTGGCAACTTCAAAGGAAGATATAAGAGAAGCCCATACGATTCTGGCATGTTATTTTACTGACTAACTGTGCTCACGTGTATACACTCCAATTGAGTTATGATGTCTTAACGTAAAGTTGTTTACCGTCGTATCTTTCAAGTTTGGCTCATTTTTCAAACCGAAATTATAAGTTACGCTTAATAGAATATAATTTAAACCGATGCTGTTATCATACACTACATCTGAAGAAGATAATATTCCCAATCTTCGAATATTTGCTCTAAATATCAGGAACAACGACGAAGGTCCTAAGCTGTATGAAGATACAGCTGACTATAGCATACGTGTTTTGAGAACATCGTCCCAGGTTCCAGACTTCGTCTGATCTCTTATGCCTTTGAAGAACCTCCTCTAGAGCCTAGGCGAACGAGTTTTATTATGGTTTTTTAGCAGCGTATGGCCTTGATACTGATTCTTTCCTAAACGCATTCTTCCGAATTGTGTCTCCACCTGGCCTTCCAACAAATTTCCTGTCAGACAATTGAACAAATTCTATCGGAGCAAAGAATGAATTGCAAGAACTAGCGGCCCTATTCAGAGAAAAGGTGCTGGAGAACACAGCAAGCTATGGTGATAAATTACACTTCAATCCACCCCTTGCCCCTCAATTTAGTGGCGTCCACGAGGTGATGATCAAGGCGGCAAAGAAAGCTATCTATGCCATTCTAAACAGTGCTGATATCACAGATGAAGAGCTCCTTAGTGCAGAAGTTGGAGCTAAAGGACTGATTAATTCACGCCCATTGACCTACCAATCAGTAAACTCATAGGATCTGGTACCTCTAACCCCTAACCATCTTCTGCAAGGGCACTTGGGCGACCAGTTTGTTCCGGACACTGTGGACAGTACAGGTTTTAATCCCCGCAGACGTTGGAGAAGAGTCCAAGAACTTGTTCGCCATTTTTGTCATCGATGGCTGAAAGAGTGGTTGCCCAGTTTGAACACCGAGCAGAAGTAGTTTCGGGATCAGGGGAATTTCCAAGAAGGAGACGTAGTTATTGGGATGTCACCGGACACTCCTAGGGGACGATGACCATTGGGGCGTAACACCAAATTGCATTTTAGAGAAGATGGAAGGGTTCGAATGGTGGACGTGCAGTCCGAAAAAGTGTCATGAGAAGACCAGTGGTGAAGCTTTGTCCCCAGAACACTGTGATCAGGACACGAACTCTTGAATTCCAAGTTAGAATCAATAAGACCCTTTTGAACAGGAACTGTGCTTATTAAGGAACTTTAATCAATAGAGCCTTTGTTTACAAGTTTTGAAATTTTGTTGACATTATCACATCAAGGAGGAGAGAATGTTTAGAAAGACTGAGAACTAATCTGACCATGAGGTTAAAAATCCCGCCATGTTGTTTTGCCGCCCTAGTGTTGCTTGTTATTTTCGTCAAATTAAATGAGTTAAATTTATGAAAAAATGTTTTGTTTCGAACCTCGAACTCGTTCGGAAGAACGAAGGCTATCAGCAACGATGAATAAGACAAGCACTTTCAGAGAAAAATACCAGCAACAAATGCCAGAGAAAAATTCCTGTTGACCAAGGGGTTTCAAAAACCTACCCTCACTACCCTCCGAGCTTTTATTATAGAGTCATTTGCAACTTACCCTCGGATAAGTCGGTGGATGGGCTGCGTGCTGGCACTAGCCTTGACGTTAG